AGGATGGATTTGCAGCCATCGTGCCACCCTGTCCAGGGGTCTCGGGGGGATTTGGGGCTGTGCCCCACCACTGCTGTGCACAGCCCAATCCCAGCCCCAGGACAGGTGCCAGCCCTGGCCCCAGCACCCCAGGGAAGCTCCGTCTGTGTGCACCTCCTGCGATGTAGCCCAGCTCTGCCACTGCACACAGAGTTTTTAAGTCTCTGACTCTAAAAACGGTGTCTAAGGCAGCCCAGTTCCGTCCCGGCGGCAGATTGGCGTGGCTGTGGCCAGTGCCAGGGCTGGGGAGCATCCCACGCCGTGGGTGGGGAACACTCCCATCACCACTTCCCAGCCCCGCTTGCTGCTGCCTGCCCTGATGGTTTTTTGGAATCTCATTAATCGCTTGTTTGGTGATTCTGACTGTACTTTCTTCTCTGACCCTTTAAACCGTGAAAATGCTGATCCTATATGTGCTGACGAATTTAATTAGCTCCTTTAAACCACCAGATGCTTTCAGTAAGATTTTCAGGATGTCCCAGGCACATTTTAATTCGAAGGTCAAAAGCCTTAGGCTTGTTTACTTTGGTGTATTATAGATAAGACCATTCAGTCTGTAAAGTAACAGAACAGTGCGGAGACACCTACCAGATTTGTACCAATACTGGGGGAAATGGATTGATGCTCACAAACAAAGGCTGCTTGAACTGAGCTGCCAACTGTTTTAACTACTTTATGTAAAGACTTCCTAAAAGACCCCACTTGTCTTTCCGCATAGATAATTAAATTCTGTGGTGACGTGTGAGAGAAGGATCCCAAGAGACAGAAATCGGATCAGAAGTCTTGGTGGTTTTAGGCAGAGCATTTGAGACGGAGTTAGCATTTGCTGGCTTTGATGCTTGATGAACGTGCCGAAGACAGGTCTTCTCCACTAAAGAAATGACCTGTTAAAATACGAGAGCCACTGGCATCCCTCTCTGAATGGACCAGGGCATCCTCTGGAAAAAGCGAGGAAGGCAAACTTGACAACTTCTATGTTTCTTATGTAAGAAAGAAGTGAGTGAGAAGAAAAGGCGTATTTTCTTGGGACTGCAATAGGGAAGATATTTGATAACAGGCTTTCAGACCAGTCTGTGCAGCTTATATTTAAATAGTGATTGCTGAAAGAGCTTTTCCAAGATGGTATTTTCACTTTTCATCTGATTTTTACAGAAGCTAGACATCCAGAAGATCGTGAGGCATCTTCTGTCCTCAGAGCTGCTTCTGGGGCTGTTGGCAACTGGGTCCG